ATGGACGAAAATCAAGCTGCAAACTCTGATATCCCCTGTTTGCACAAAAATCATATGCCTGAGTTGCGAATATGAAATTAAACCATGAGTCAGATAGGAGAATCGGTTGGTCAAATTTTAGGGTGCAACATCGGGGATCAAAAAATACCACTGATAAAAGTGCTGGAGATATCATGAAACAGATTGGAGACATTTATGGTTAAGAGGACACCTTGGAATTCTTGACAGGTGACAAGATCATGGATAAAAAAAAGGAGCTGGTAATAAAAAGACACATGAAAATATTAACAGGAAAATTAATATTGCAACTACTATCAGCATTCATGAGACCCCTTTCAAATGAGCGATTGGAGCCAGCGGCATAGTGGACATTGGAAATGGACAAGGAAGCAGACCACCAGACATAGATAACATAATGGTGGTTAGAGAAGTGGAGGATAGTGGAAACCTGAAGTCTTAAATACCTAGTTCAAGTATAGTGGAGACTATAGAGGAAGAAGGTGAAGAGGAATGTGTAGAAGAGACCCCTCTTGCAAATGGAGATGATGACATGTAATATGATTTTGGCTATTTTGATAAGTGTTATAATGATTATGAATAATAACATTATTGTTTGGAATTGCAGAGGTGTCGCAAGTAAAGCGTTTTATAGATATAGCAAGTTTTATATAGACATGTATAAGCCTTCTATTTTTGTCATTATGGAGACCAGATACGACCCAAGTAGGTTACGCAAAATTTTGCATAAGTTGGGGTTTTATGAGGTTGTTTATTCTAATAATAATGGTTATTCTAGAGGTATTCTTGTTGTGTGGTTCAATGATAAGTGGAATATTACCTTGATATCTAAGGAGGAGTAGTGTGTTCATCTTAGCATTGATTGTGGTACTGGTGATGAGTGGGTGTTTTCGTGTGTGTATACTAGTCCTAATGGGATATGAGACACATGTTGTGGAACAACTTGAAGAGTATGGCTTGTAACATGTCTAAGCATTGGGTGATGGCTGGGGATTTCAATGACAATGCTTTTGCGCATGAAAAGAATGGTGGAGTGAAGGTTTCCCTAAGGAAGTGCATGACCTTCTGCAATAATATTGATGATTGTAATCTGCATATCTTGGTGTTAGCGGCCCTAAGTTCACTTGGAGAAGGTCAATGTTTCGTGGAGGACAACGCATGTATGAAAGGTTGGATAGGTTTTTGTGTAACGATGAGTGGAGAATGATGTTTGCTGAGGCCCACTCTAAGGTGCTTACTAGGGTTGACTTTTCTGACCATCACCCTATTATGGCATCTCTTACGAGTAATATGTGTGCTAAAGTTGCTAAGAACTTTAGGTTTGAGAGTGCTTGGTTGGTTGATAATGGATATATGGAGAGAATCAAGTATGTGTGAAATGATAATGATGGCTTGAGGCAAAATCATAATAAGATTATGGAAGACTCTAAGGCTTGGAAGTGTGGTACACTTAATCAAGTTCGTATGAGGAACAAAGAGCTTATGGCTAGACTTGAAGGGGTACTTAAGTGAATCCAACCTAGAAATAATATGGGGGGGGGGGGGGGGGCATGAGAGCTCTGGAGTGTAAACTTTAGGTTGAATTAAATGAGATTCTAAAAAAGGAGGAAATGATGTGGTTCCAACGTTCTAGGGAGAAATGGCTTACTGACGAAGATAGGAACACTAAGTCTATCACTTGAAGACAATCACGAGAAGGAAAAGGAATGTTATTGTTATTTTAAAAGATGAGCATGGAAATTGGTTGAGAATGGTGATTAATTGAAGGAAATGGTGAATACTTATTACAAGAACTTGTTTCGGCTTGGCAATTGTTGGCAGACATGGAGTCAGACACCCATTACTTATCCCAATCTTGAGGATGAGGAGGTAGTTGAGTTGGACCAAGCTGTTACTCCTGATGAAATTCGACGGGCACTGTTTGACATGAAATTCTGGAAGGCGCCCGATCCTGATAGGTATCCTATGAGGTTCTATCAGAGATCTTGGGATATTGTCGGAAAAATGTTTGTGAGTTTGTGTAGAGTATTTAGAGGCAGCCAAATTTGATAGGGGGAGTGAACCAAACTGATATATGTCTCATTCCCAAAGGAGAGCACCCTACAACGATTACGCGGTTCCGGCCTATTTTGCTTTGCAATACTATTTATAAGGTGATTAGTAAGTTTATTGTGGGAAGGTTGAAGAAGCATATGAATAAGTTGATATCTCCCTACCAAACTAGTTTTGTTCCCGATAGAGCGATTCACGCGAATATTATTCTAGCAAGTGAAGTTATGCATAGTATGGAGAAAGCGAAAGGAAAGAAAGGGCATTTGTCATTAAAGTTGATCTCTCGAAATCTTACGAAAAACTATGTTGTGAATTTATTTGGAATACTCTTCAAGAAATTAAATTGCCTACTAGCATGATCAATCTTATCATGCATGCAGTGACATCTGTTGAAACTAATGTAATTTGGAACGGAGCCAGGAGTAATTTCTTTCGCCCACAATGTGGTATTAGGCAAGGCAAATAAATTTCACCATACTTGTTTGTTTTGTGCATAGACAAACTAATGCATCTCATTGTGCATGAAGTGAATCAAAACAACTGGAGAACACTGAAGTTAGGCAGGCAGGGGCATAGAATTTCACACCTCATGTTTGCGCGGACGATCTCTTGTTATTTGGAGAATCCACGGGAGCTCAAATGGAATGTGTATTGAAAACTCTTAATAAGTTCTGCAATATGTCTGGGCAGGAGGTCAACCAAGAGAAATCTAACATCATGTTTTCTAAAAACGTGAATAGGAGCATGCAGAATAAGCTTGTGTATCTGTCTGGGTATAGGAATACTTCTAATCTTGGGAAGTACCTTGGTGTCCTGATAAGTGGAAAAATGATGCAGAAGCATGACTTTCGATACCTTGTTGGCCAAATTGATGAAAGACTTACTAACTGGAAGAGAAATAGTTTTTCGCTCGTAGATAGAATCACTTTGGCCAAGAGTGTGATTGAAGCCATGCCCCTCTATCCAATGATGACTAATCGAATTCCCAAATCCATTTTGGAAGAAATTCACAGCAAGCAATGTAAGTTCATTTGGGGGATACAGAAGGGAATAGGAAGATTCATGCAGTAGGATGCAACACCATTACTATGCCCAAAAGCCATGGGGGTCTGGCATTAAGGAACTTAGAGGTCCTGAACACTTCCTGCATGATGAAGTTCAGGTGGAAGATGGTGACTAATGAGAAGGACCTTTGGTGCGAGGTGATGCATGGTAAATATAATTGTCTTGATAGTCAGCTCAATGTTGGAGCAAAGGCGGGGGACTCAAGTTTAAAGAAGCAGATTACTAGAGTAGCTTCGGATGTTTGCAAATTTGAAGTTTGGAATGTTGGTGACGGTTCGACGATTCGTGCTTAGAAAGACAATTGGTTAGGGGAGAATATGCATCCTAGCAGTATTTTGCACCTTATCCCAGCCGAGTGGGTGGAAGCTAAGGTTATTAACTTGGTGGATAACCATGGAGATTGGAATTGGAGTTTGATCGACGGTTGGCTGCTTATGGATTGTATGGACAAGATTCGAGCCTTAGTGCTTCCCACTATGGGGCATGTTACTGACATCTTTCCTTTTGCAGGGACTGAAATTGGTATTTTCTCCTTGAAGACGGTTTACCATGCCATTAAGAAGAAGGAGGAACAACATGAAGACAATGTTTGGAAGTTGATTTAGAAATTAGGCGTGTTTGAGAAGTGTAGGGCTTTCATATGGCTTCTTAAGCATGATAGGCTGCTTACTAGTCATAATAAAAGTAGGAAAGACCTTGGTAATGCGGGTTGCAAAGTGTGTGGATATGTGTGTGAAAATACTCTTCATGCTATAAGAGATGTGTGGATATGTGTGTGAAAATACTCTTCATGCTATAAGAGATTGCCCTAAGGTTATGGAGGCTTGGAAGATTATCGTTCAAAATGAGATTATGGTGGAGTTTTTTTGACATGGAGTTACAAGATTGGATACAAATGAATTTAAAAGCTAAAGTTGATGGTGCTTGCATCTGGAGGAATGTGTGGGCAGTTGTTTGCCATACCTTTTAGATGTGGGGGAATTTTAAGGAGCATGACAATGATTATGTGCGACCAATTGGTCCAGAGCATATTATTTTACAAAAGCATAAGGAGTACAAGGAAGTCTTTACTACAAGTTCACAAGAGGTGAGTAAAAGTGATCTTGTGTGGAAACCACCTATGACAAACATGGTAAAGCTCAACACTGATTGGTCTTGTAAGGATCAAAGTAAAGCTAGTTGTGGTAGAGTTGTTCATAATAACGGGGGTAACTGGTTAGGTGGATTTGCCAAATTCTTAGGGAGGTGTAGCGCTATCATGACAAAATGTTGGGGTGTTTTAAAAGGTCTCAAGCTTATCAAGAGGCTTGGGTTGAGAAGATTGGAAGTGAATATAGATTCCAAAATGGTGGTGAAAGCTCTCCAAGAGAATGAGCATATCATCCATAGTTGTCGTGCATTAATCTTAAAAATTAAAAAGTTGATCATAGAGCATGATTTAGTTACCATATCCCACACCTTTAGAGAGACAAATGCATGTGCGAATGTGTTAGCTAAAGTGGATTCCTTATCTAGAAATTTCATGTAATACAATGAAGTCCCCGAGGTGCTGGTGCTTCCTTTGAAAGTGAATAGAACATGCTGTGTAAAACCGGTGGTTGGGTTGTGTTTTTTTTTTTTTGCTTCGGCCATCTTTGTCAGGAAAAAAAAAATACTATTGTAGGATTTAAAATTACTTTAGCATAAAATTTGCTAATGTTAGATCACCCAAACCAAAATATCGTTCGTTCACAAGGCGCTAATCACGAGCCAAAATTTCTTAATCTTAAACAACTAATCTAATGGTAAAAGCCATTTAAGACATTTCAAAAGTTGAGAAGTTCATGGTGTCAGGGTTGGGTAATACAAGCAAAATAGTATTAACCCTATCTGTTCCATTCATAATCTACTCCATATTTGGGGTTGGCATTGTTTGCCACACTCGCCGCCGCAGAATACTCCGGACTTATCGAGTCTGCAAAGGTATGCCAACCAAGTAGGTATGGCATGATGAACTACACACAATAAACCAAAAACAAGATCAAAAGAAAAAATGAACATATGTTAGTTTTGTCACAACAATCATTCCATTGAACTACAAGAGAATTGAGTCACAGCAATACAAATTTTGCAATTAGAAGTCAGAACGAGATATACCTTGAATATTGTGCTCAAAACTGATAACTCTGCTTTTGTTACGGGGAGAGTGATGCTTTCTTCCACGTTCACAAGCTTGTTTTGAACACCTTCGAAAAATGTCACAGTAAAATAAGCACTCGAGCAAATATTAATAAATTTAACTTTCATTTATATTGCAAACATTGGCATTAAAAAAGATAAGTTCAGTTATCGCAAACTAAGGCTTGTGAAAGAAAGAAGATTACTGAGATTAAAAAAGAATCCAGAACCATCCGGAAAAGGCTCAACTTTCAAAACTTTTTTGACTTTGCCTTCATCACTGCATAAAAGACAATTTTGGAAATGAATTAAATGAATATAGAATCATAGCGGCCAGTCCCATTAAGCCAGCTCAGTCGATAGCCGTGCAGGGACATCCGACTACAGGGGGCACGAGTTATTGTAACACACCAATCTTTAGGAAGCAAGCATAGAAACTACCTTTTTCCCTTGTAAGGATCATGAAAAAATTCACAATGGTCCCTTGCACCAAGGCTAATCACACTTCCCATTTCATCCACCGATAACGAGAAAACCTGCATTCAAGTAAAGTCTATGATGACCTTGCATTTTATCCTAGAAAACCAACCTCGGAACTCCAACATATAATCATACAAAAAAACTTTCAAATCAGAGATTAAAACCATACCAAACTCCTTCAGATTTTGTCAGAAAAAACACTTGCATACTCGAAGAGTAAAGCTCTCAAACAGTTCAAATTCAACCCAAAATTCATCACATAGTATTCTTATTCTAATCAAATGGCATAAATGGTTATATTGTGGCACAAGTCCATGTCTTTTGTTTTCGAAAAACAAGCATAATCCTATCACATTACATAAGAACTTCTCAACTTGCAATAACAATTAAAGACAGACAAACTGACCTGTTTTCTATTCCAGTCATACTGGCGCAGACCAACCGAGGGAGCAAACTGAAGCAGCACATAACCATCCTTAGATATCTTATATGCCCCTGACTACAAAATTCACCAAAAACGTTCCACATTAAAAACATTCAGCTCACAACTCCACAAAAAATACAGCCCAGTCCAACAATAACTGGCGCAATCAAAACTTAAAACACACCACTTCACACTCCAGATGCTCAAGATTGAACATCCGGAGCGTGGAAACAAATGGTGGATGGCCTGATAGCATAAAACTAATAATAGGTAGCCTAATAGATCTTAAACAAGGCTTTGACCATCTTAAGAATTGTGATTAAGCCTAACTCATCCCTAAAATACCAACTTGTAGAGGAAGATTGTTGTCACTTATAAACACGTATTCAGACTATATATTGTCCGAGATTATACTCTTAAGACATAATGTGTTACCCTACAATGTTATAACTTCAATTTGATAAAATTTTGTATTAAACTGCATATTGCGGAACAATAGCCGTTTATCCAACACTGTCATACTTACATCCAGAGGTGCGAACTCCGGCGGTCTAGGAGTGATAGTGAGAGCAGCCTTCCCTTTGTAAATGGAATGACCAACATAAACCCTAGGTGGTAAAGCTCCAACTGAAAATTCGCACATACACATGAAACATGAAAACAAGTTAGTGCATTACATAAACAAACATATAACAAACAACCCATTAAAATTTTCTAGTTTCACTCACAACCCATTTCACTGTACATCATTTTTATTATATTTTATTTTTATTTGCTTCCAAAATACAATTAAAAAAATGATTTTTAAAAAATGGGGTTTAGTTATTTTTGAGTAACGGAACAAATTTAAGAGAAAAATGGGTAAAAGGGTTAATGAAAATAAAACGGAAAATAGAAATACCTGAAGGGTTGTTGTTGGGGGTTGAAGTGGGAGGAGAATGATTGGTTCCGGTTTCAACGACGTCAGAGTGGCGGCATCTGATAGTTAGGGGTTTGAAAGGAAGAGAGTTTGTTGTTGGAGAGAAAGAGAAAGTGGTGTTTGTGAAAAGCTTAAGGAAAGAAAAACGAGACGAAGTTGAAGTAGAAGAAGAAGAAGAAGAAGAGAGTGATGGTGCTTGTGAGTGTAGCTGTAAATACAGATGCGACATCTTCGCTACTTTTCTGGTTCTGTGTTTGAAAGTCTCAAAGTGTAAACAAGATATATGAGACAAATATTTGAACAGAATTGTTTTGCTAGCGCAAGAAAATTATTTTATTAATAAAAAATTATTAATAAAGAGATTAATTGTAAGGAAAACTATCCCAATCGATTTGAATTATTAGTATAATTTTGCAAAATAAAAGTCCTTCATTAAAATACCGTATAAAAGTGCATCTCCTATTTTCTATAATTTAATATTAGTGTATCCTTGCGATATAAATCATTGGGACAAATAGTATACTCCATTGTTCAAGTATGCATTTAAATATGAAATAAGAATAAAAATGTAATTGTGACAAATATGTTTTTTAAAAACGCAACTAAATACAAATTGTGAAATTTTATTTATTTTTAAAAACATATATAAATGTAAAAAAAATCATATATAATAAATATATGAAAACATATTATCTACGTAAATATTCATTAAAACGATAGAAAACAACTATTAAAGTTTTATCATATTGACAAAATTGACTCAATAATAACTTAACTGAAAAAGCCATTCTAAGGGCTTCTAAAGTTTCTTTAGATAGGTGAGGTGGAACGTCGCACACGTGGGAAACTTACTAGCAGCCTATTTTAAAATGTGCACTATTTCTCAAATATGCTGCTCATTCTTTGAATGGCTCCCGATTTATAAGAGTGTGAGGAGTGATGTGTTCTAGTCCACAAGGCTGCGAAGAGGAAGTTAAAGGGAATTTATCATGTTCTCCTAAATAATAAGGGGTTAATTGTCCCATTTTCCTGCCCCTAGAAGCGATTGCTACCATGGGAGTTTAAGGCCCAGGCCTAGAGACTTTTATAAATACCTTAACCCTAAGGTTGAGACAATATTCAATTCATTACATAAATATCACATACATAGCTTTTCACCTCCTTGTGTGAGCTAGCTTTTAACACCACAACAAACCCTATAAGCCTCTGATAACCCTTAATCATTAAGGGTTATCATATATTGTATTTTTAGCAAGTACAATTAGCGTTCATCGTAAGGCCCAGTAAAACTAACCTGGGTCACATTAATCATTACTCACCTTTCCCTAGTAGATGCTGAAATGAAGTTTCAAGACCGTTATCAACACCATCATCAAAGGTTTTCGACGGCGGGGTAGATTTCAGTTCTTTTTAGAGGAAATATGCCAGACAGGTTTTGACCAGAAACATCGTACCTATTAACATCCCTAAAACCCTAAGGAGAGAGCCAGAATATAAAATCACCTTCTCTAGTAAAGACGTCATTGTCATTCTCCCCCACAACAATAATTCCATAGTCGTCACGGTATAATACACTAATTGAGATATAAAATGAGTATTAATGGACCCCAGAAGCTTAGCAAATGTATTATTCTAAAGCAATTTCTAATGTCTTCATCTTGACCCATATAACATCACAGAGTTCCGAGACTCTCTAGTTGGTTTGTCGGGCAAACAGTTACAGTTGAGGGAGCATGTGACGCTCAAAACAACGCTCGGCTCAAAGGCTAGCGTAAAAATGGTTAAAGTAAAGTATCTTGTGGTTAAAACCTTATCTTTATACAATGTCATTCTATGGAGGCTCACCCTTAATTCGCTAGGGTGATCTTGGTTACCCTTCATTTGAGCTTGAAATATCTATTACCTGATGGGCGAGTTGGGTTAGTTTGGGGGGCCAGGGCGTTGCCCTAGATGTTTCCCCTCAGATGGAAGCATAACAAGCACGGTTCTCAAGCTAGGACCCTATGATGGCCAAAAATGAAAGGCTTACTCCCATAGAAGACATGAAAGAAGTCCAAATTGGGCCCTTGGATCATTAGGTCGCCAAACTAGTGTTAGAACAAGATTTGTTCATGACATATTTTCCTTGGGTTTTGATGATAACAAAGTATTGAAAGAACAATGGTTTATTTAATGTGTGTTACATGTGTGCAGGTTCTTATACTTAAAAATGTTATGATCAGAATTTATTCTACATTAAGCATACTTTGAGAGTTGCTGCATTGCTAATTTCTGGTGGCAAAATCTGAAGAACACTTGCTAAGTGATATCTGGCGAAGACTCTGAAGTTAAAGGTCTCAACATTAGAAGAAGCAACATTATCATCTCTACACTTAGTGAATGCAAATTGACTTCTGGTACCATTCAGAGTTGGTAATAAAGCTGAAGATGTTCGTACTGCAGAAAGCAAGTTGTATTGTCAACTCAGTTTGTCAGCTAGAGGCTACAGATTACAAGGCTCAAGAAAAGATGAGATGCTTTATGTATATCTACTCTCAATGAATGTAATAGTACATAATCTCTTGAAGATTCAAAGGTTAAACCTGTTACACATTGGATTAAGATCTTCTGGTGTATCTATCTTCAACGGCTATTATACTATGGAGTAACAGCAAAGACTCTTGATCAAGTTACGTCCCCAACGGCTAGTTTCTGAAAAGGCTATAAATATGGCTGAAGGTTCAAACTAAATCTTTAATTAGGATCAACCAGAAGAAGGAGTAACAAGATCGGCAATTATTAACTCAATGTATATGCAGATTTTTTTTTATGTAGGTTGTAATTATAAAAGCCTTAATATTTCTTACACATTGTATATCTTAAAAATATTAAGAGCTATAGGTCTTTGTTATGATGATTCCTCGTACCTCTGATACTCGTATCATGTACACTTTGTTCTCGATTTTGCTGAGCTTGTTCAGCAGTTTAGATAAAAGTCTTGTGTCAATTGAAATTCTGGAATGCAGATCACATGTGTTCCAAGAACATTGATCTCTGCTCAACAAGGACGAGGACTGTAACACCCATTTTAATTATTTTTGGTTTCTGAGTTATTTTATTCGCGGATGTGTTTTGAGAAATTATTTGGAGAATCAAGAACTCATAATATTAGTATACAGTGATAAAAAGTGATAATTAATGGTAATGTAATATTATTATTAATTATTATTATAGTTATTTCTAATACTAATATATGAGAAAATATGATTACATGGATTTTAGTGAATTAAAAGAAATAAGAGGATTATTATTATTATTATTATTATGAGAATTATAATATTGAGAATAAAAGAGAATTATTGGGATTAAGGGCAAGCTTGTCATTTGTAGAAATGAGAATTGGAAGGAAATAAAGGAACGCGTACGAAGAACACGGAAGGGGAAAGAGAAGCTCGATTGTGAAAGCAAGCTAGAGCAAGCAGAATTTGTGAAGATTTTGGTGCTTCATCAACATCAGAACTTCAATTGAGGTAAGGGGGGGATTTAACGGTTAAATTGGTATTGCATGAATATAGGTAGAGAAGGGGGAAAATCCCTAACCCCAATGATTGTTGATGATCTGATGATTGATTTCATGTTGTTGAAGCTGTTATTATTGTGTTGAAATATGTTAATCTGTTGCATATGGTTGGGTTCGATTGTTTGAGTGAATTTTGGGGTTTCCGGTTGAGTTTGGAGTAGAGCCGGAAGTTGGTTGTTAGAGTTGAGTTGAGTAATTGTCAGATAAAATCGGGAACAGACCCCGTAACCAAGTTTTAGTATGTTGTTGGTTGTGAGTTTCGATTTAATCGGGTGGAATTGGTGTGGGTGATGATTCTGCTGCGCAGAATTTTTCTGATTCTGCAGGTGTTCGCCAGCTTTCGCTGGGCGAATGGGGGAGCGAGCCTTCGCCAGGCGAACTAGCCAACGAGTGCTGGTAGAAGCTACTGTCTGGCTTCACCAGAAGTTTCGCCAGGCGAGTTCCAGCGAGTATTCGCTGTGGGGCTTCGCCAGGCGAATGGCAGCAAGTGTTCGCTGCGGGGCTTCGCCGGGCGAATGTGCCAACGAGCCCGACAACAGTTTGTGTTTTTGTTGCTGTTTTGTGTTGTTTCCTTTGTGGACTTGGACCCTTGTTGGGAATGTTTGATGATGAGCTTGCTGGAGAGCTGAGGCGAGTGTATGTTGAAGGTTGTAGGGCTGTGTAGCCGACGTTTATCGCCTTAGATATAATCAGGGGATTATGTGTTAAGTCTCGACAAGTGTGGCTGTGTTTGTGAGATGTGTGCACGATGTGCTAAGTGTGTGAGATATGTGGACCAGTAGGATCGACACACCTTGAGTGCGTTGTGGTGATGTGTTGTGATGAGTGGATCCGTAGGATCGATACGCTGATTATGCGTTGCATTTATATGTTGTTGTGTGATATATTTGGGTCAGTAGGACCGGCACGCCTTGTGTGCATTGTATGTGATATATTGTGTGGCGAGTTGATCGGTAGGATCGATGCACTTTGTGTGCTTGTGTATGTATGCATATTATGATGCGATGGACCAGTGGGGTCGTGTGCACTGTGTGTGCTGTGTGTTTATGCATAGTGTCTTACATAGCGTGTAGACGTGAGGTATGATGTACTCACGTGCTCTAAGTGGGGAGTGTGGACGTGTTGTGTGATACACTCACGTGCTCCAGTGGGGAGTGTGGACGGGATTTGGATCGTTGCTCGGATGGAGTGTATGCGACCACCCGTGTCCCAAGTGGGGGACGTTGATGATGTGCTCCCTGTGAGGAGGGTGATGGCCCAGTGACCATCGAAGATGTGCTCCTTGTGAGGAGGGTGATGGTCAGGTGTCCATCAGTGCGTGTGCTCCTTTGCGGAGGGTTGATGGCCAAGTGCCCATCGTTGATGTGTGCTCCTTTGTGGAGGGTTGATGGCCAAGTGCCCATCGTTGATGTGTGCTCCTGTGTGGAGGGTTGATAGCCCGGTGCCCATCGTTGTTGTGAGTCGGTACCGCATATTCATGGGTTGTGTGGGTGTGCATGTGTTGCATGATTTTATGTTGAGATTGATGATGGGACAGTAGGTCCAGATGTGTTGTATATGAAATGATATTTATATGATTTTCTACCTTTTATTTCATGTACAACTATACCATTATTATTTGATCGTGAATCTCACCCCTTAGTTGTTGTTGTGGTCTGTGCTTCTTCGGA